CTAGTACAAAACAAAACAAAAAAGGGGAATACTGTAGATACAGAGCTTTCAAAAGATGATGAAGTCAAGTAAAGTTCAACATAAAACAAACTTTTAAACTGGGAAAGAAATAGTTACAGGGTAACCTCCAAGAAAATTAATACACCTTTGCATCAAAATAAAAAGATTCTTTTTTTAACCAAATAAGTATTAAAATAACAGCAATGATGAAATTAAAGGGAAACCCATAAACAAAATGGACTCAGTGCAAAAAATTATGTGGAACAAAGAAACTAGCAGTAGACAAAAAAAGAAAACACACAGTAAAATGACAGCAACTAATTCATACCTGTAAGTAATGACACTCAATGTAAATGGATTAAATGCACCAGTCAAGAGACAGAATTTGGTAGAATGAGTAAGAAAGCAGGATCCTTCAATATGCTGTCTACAAGAGACACACTTTACAAAGACACAAACGGACAAAAAAATCTAAGTATGGAAAGTAATGTCAATCAAAAATGATCAGCAGTGGCAATAATAATCTCTGATAAAATAGATTTAAGGCAAAAACCAACATAAAGCCAAAGAACGACATTATATCATGAATAAAGACTCCACTAAACAAGAATCATTGTTCTCAGGACTGATTGTGAGGGTCGGAAATGTAAAGGTAGATGTTTTATAGCAAGGAGGGGAGTGATTAACTTTTCAGTCTAGGAGCGGAGGTCCCTAGGACCATCAAGGGAGAAGAGCAGAGAGCAGGACCCTACCCAGAGAAGCAGTGATGCCTGAAATGGAGCCAGAGATGATGACGTGGAGCAGTGGAGCAGCTGGAGACTTTAGATCCAGAGAGGGAGAGCGACTGTGTGCTGAAGACCTGGGGGGCAAGGGGGAAGGATTGCATGGAGGGGATTGTAACCATGGCAATGAGAGGATATACGAATGTAAAACTAATGTTCTCCCATGTAAACTATCACATAATTCACAATAAAACATTTAAGAAAAAAAAAAAAAAAGATTCCACTAAACAAGAGGACACAACCAGTGAAAGAGCCTCAAAATACATAAATCAAACTCTAATAACAGAACTGAAGAAAGGAACAGACAACTCCATATAATAGTAGGAGATAGTAATACAACACTTTTGATGAACAAAACAACTAGAAAGGAACTCAAGAAAGACACAGATGACCTAAGCAACACAATGACCAAACTTGGCCTCACAGACAGCACACAACACTCAACCCCACAACAGCACAATAGATTTCTTCTCCAGTACACTAGAACATTTTCCAGCATAGATGATATGTTAGGCCACAAAGTAAACCTCAATAAATTTTAAAACATCAAAATACTGTAAAGCATCTTCTAAAATTAGAAATCAAAAAAAGAAAGACCAAGGGGGGAAAAAAATCTGAAAACTGAATAGCACTCTGCTTAAAAGCTACTGGATAATAGAAGAAATAAAAAAAGGAAAGTATAATCAAACAAGAATGAAAACACCATGTATCAAAGCCTTTCAAACACAGCAAAAGCAGTGCTCAGAGGTCAACTTACAGCAATAAATGAGCACACCTAACAAGAAGAAAGAGTCAAAATCAGTACCTTAGCTCAGTATTTCCAACAGTTAGAACAAGTATAGCAAATTAAGCTCACAGCCACTAGAAGAAAAGGTACAATAATGGTAAAAGCAGAACTAAATGACACAGAAAAGAGAAAAACAATAGAAAGAATCAACAAGACAAGTTGATTCTTTGAAAGGTTTAATAAAATCCACAAACCTAACAAAGACAAGAAAGAAACTATGCAAATTACATGAATAAGAAGTGACACAGGTGATGCCACAACAGAACTAACGGAAATAAAAAGGATAATCACAGAATGCTATGAAGAATTGTAGACCCCAACAAATTTGAAAACCTAGAAGAACTGTACAAATGTCTAGAAGCATGTGACCTACCTAAACTAACAGAGCCTGAAGTAGAGAACTTGAAAAAACTTAGAAGAAATTGATCCAATCATTTAAAAACTCCCAACAAAAAAAAAAACCAGGGCACAAATGGTTTCACTAGAAAATTATCCCAAACATTCAGAGAAGAGCTGATAATGCTACACAAATTATTCCAGAATGTAGAAAATAATGGACAGCTCTAAAATTCATTTTATTAAGCAAACATAACCCGGATACAAAAACCAGGCAAAGAAAAGTATAAACCAGTATCCCACATAAACATAGATGCAAAAATTCTCAACAAAATCCTAATCAACAGAATCCAACAACACATAAAAAAAAGATACATCATGATCAAGTGGGATTCATACTAGGTAGGCAAGGATGCTTCAAATTTGGAAAAACAATTCAATGTAATCCACCATCTAAATAAAACAAAAGAAAAAATTCATATTCATTTGAAAAAATCCAACACTCATTTCTTATAAAAACACTCTGCAAAATAGGAATAGAAGGACTTTTTCTCAACATAATTAAGGGCATATATACAAAACCAACTCTCAGCATCATTCTCAGCAGGGAGAAACTGAAACTGTTCCCACTGCAAACAGGAACCAAAGATCTCCATTACCACCACTTCTATTCAATATTGAGTTGGAAGTCTTAGCCAGAGCTAAGAGACAAGAAAGGGAAATTAAAGGTATCCAAATTGGCAAAGAAGTAATACTCTCTATTTGCTGATTACATAATCCTATAATTAGAAAAGCCCAAAGACTCAGCATGTAAATTATTGTAACTCATCAAAAGATTCAGCAAAATGGCAGGGTACAAGATCAACATTTATACTAATAAAGAGAGCTATGAAAAGGAAATCAAGAAAACTATACTACTTGCAATAGTCACCCAAAAGATGAATACTTAGGAACACATCTAACCAAAGTAACAAAAGATCTATACAAAGAAAACTATAAAACATTACAACAAGAAACCTATAAAAATGGAACACTATATCATGTTGGTGGATTGTTGTTCTTAAGTCGAGTCAGTTCTGACTCTGTATAGGGTTTCCAAGGAGCAGCTGGTGAGCTTGAACCGCAGAACTTGCAGTTCAAACAACTTTGCAGTCTGACGCATTAACCCACAGCACCACACCAGGACTCCATGTTGGTGGATAAGCAGAGTTAACATTGTGAAAATGTCAACACATTTACTCAAAGCAATCTAAAGATACAATGTAATCTCAATGCAGGTTCCAACACCATTCTTTAAAGAGATGGAAAAACAAATCACCAACTTTGCATGGAAAGGAAAAAGACCCTGGATGAGTAAAGCATTACTAAAAAAGAACAAAATAGGAGGCCTCTCACTTCCCAAACTCAGAACCTACTACACACATAGTCACAGTAATGAAAATAGTCTGGTACTGGTACTGAAAGACACACAGATCAATGGGGCAGACTTGAAAATCCAAAAGTCAATCCATCCACCTATGCTCAGTTGGTCTTTGACAAAGGACCAAGTCACATTAAATGGGAAAGACATAGTCTCTACAACAAATGGTGCTGGCAAAAATGGAAATCCATTTGCAGAAAAATGAACCAAGACCCATATCTCATGCCATACACAAAAACTAACTCACTGTGGAATAAAGACCTAAATGTAAAATCTAGAACAATAAAGATCATCAATGAGAAAACAAAGACATACTTAGGTACTTTGATATATGACATAAATACACTATCAAACATAACTGAAAACATACAAACAGCAGGAGATAAAATAGACTGGGACCTTCTAAAAACTAGACGTTTAGACACATCAAAAATTTCATGAAAAGACTAACAAGAGAGCCCACGGAGGGGAAAATGTTTTTGGCAATGACAATCAGAAAAGAGACTACTGTCTAAAATTTATAGAATACTGCAACACCACAACAAGAAGACACATAATCCAATTTTTAAAATGAGCAGAGGACATGAATAGACACTTCACAAAGAAGACATTCAGGAAGCCAACAAACACATGAAGAAATGTCCATGAGCACTGGCCACTAGAGAGATGCAAATCAAAACAACACTGATATATTCTTACCCCAGAGTTAATAGCAAAGTTCAAAAAACAGAAAACAAATGCTGGAGAGGGTGTGGAGAGTACGGGAACCTCCTAGACTGTTGGTGGGACTGTAAAATGGTACAACCACTGTGGAAAATGGTATGGCGCTTTCTCAGGAGGTTGGAAACAGAAATACCATATGACCCCAAAATCTATTTGGTATATACCTGCAAGACATAAGAGTTATGACAGGAATAGATATTTGCACACTGATGTTCATTTCAGCATACTTAACAATAGTAAAAAGATGGGGACAGTCTAAATGTCCATCAGTAGAAGGAATGGTTTAACAAATTTTGTACAAGTACATCATGGAACATTATACAAACAATGAAGAATAAGGATGAATCTGCAACACACCACCTAACATGGAAGGACCTGGAGGGCATTATGTTGAGTGGAATTAGTCTATTACAAAGGGACAGATATTATATGAGACACTACTGAAAAAAGTCAAGAAGACGTTTTCATTCTATTGAAAAACTTTCTATGATGGTTACAAGGGGTGGGAGGAAAGGGAGAATTATTAACTGGGTACAGTGTAAACATGTGCTAACTTGGGTGACAGGGAAGGCAGGTAAAAAGAAATGGAAGGAAAGAGGGAAGAAAATAGAAAAGAAAAAAAAGATTACTTTCTTCCTTCTTGTTTTTCATATACTGGAGGGAAGACAATGCATACTTATTTTCTCATTAGGCCAAATCATTGGGAACATTTCTGCAAACAAAGAAAAGGGGAAGAAGGAGAAAAAGAAAACAAAGTAGAGAGAGAAAAAAAAAATGATTTGGAAATGGATAATGTTATGTTTGTGTGATGCTGAGAGTATGATTGGTGCATGTACTAATGGCTGAAACGGCAAATATTTTATAATAATAATAAAAACAGACAACCAGCAAACTCTTCTGGAAGTGGATTTTTCTTCAGGCCTTGGATCCCTTACAGATGTGGTTTGCTTACCTGGGTTCCCTGATGGTTGATGTCAATGGCATCACTCCATTCAGCTGCAGTTTCTTCTAGCAAGTCTACTCTCAAAAGGAGGCTAGGAAGTAAGTCTTTGGTTTTGCAGTCTGGGTAACTGGAAATCTGATGGTATAGCTCATGGTGAACTGAACATTCAGAAGGAATTTTTCGGCAGTAAACATCAAACTTTGGAATATCTGAAATTAAAAAAATAAATTTAAAAAAGGATATGTGAAGCTTTAGCCTCAAAGAAAAGACACAGGAGTTATTAAAGGTTAAAAGAAACTTTTCAAGAAGGGATAATTAATATTTTTATCAAAACACTCTTCACTGGATCCTAGATAATGACTACATCAAAAACATCCAAAAATAATACATGTTTTATATTATTTAAATTTAATGCTATAAGAATACCTTTGATATTTTCCTTTATAAGCATTGCTACTGGACATGTGTTATGGAAAATTATCCGAGGACTAGGGTCTTCTGAGAGGGTTAAATAAATCACTCCAAAGTGTTCTTGATATGTCAGTGTTATTGCCCTAGAATACAATGAAATGACAGAACTGGGTTAGAAATGATGAATGCTTTCTCTCTTGGTACATGTTTATTTGAATTTGAAATAACACAACTCCACAAAAGCTTCTCTCTTATAACTCAGATGAAACCATCATCTATTAACTATTAACTCAACTGTTGTTGAGTGCCATCGAGTCAATTCCGACCCATAGCGACCCTGTATAGGGTTTCCAAGGAGTACCTGGTGAGGTTGAACCACCAACCTTGCAGTTCAAACAGCTTTGTGGTCTGGTGCATTAACCCACAACGCCACACCAAGACTATTAACTATAGTACACTAATTATAGATGTACTGATTTTTTCCTGATAATGTTGTTGAGTGACATCCAGTCAGTTTTGACTAATAGTGACCCTGCATAGCGTTTCCAAGGAGTGGCTGGTGGGTTTGAACCACTGACCTTGTGGTCCAAACTGACTTTGCAGTCCAGTGCTTATCTTATAGTGCCATACCAGGACTCCAATGATAGACAGTACTGATTTTTTTCTGAGAATAGTAACATGTATCATAAAATATTTTAAAATATGAAAAATTATTTAAAAGAAAAATATTTATAACTTTTACCACCCAGGCAAACTACAGCTAACCTTGTACTAACCTTACCCCTAGCTTTTTTTTGTTTTCTTTCCTCTCTACAGATATATATGCCTTTGATTCTTCAGATAGGGTAATCTTCTTCTTCATCAAAAGTGCTCAGTAAATTTTGGCCAAGGAGGAGCTGCCCTGCTTTAGGGCTACTAGAGAATTTGGGTGATCTCTTTCTCAATACTAAGATCCATTGCTGCTGTTGTTAGCTAGCATTGAGTTGGTTCCGACTCATAGCGATTCTACATACAGAGGATGAACAGTGCCTGGTTCTGCATCATCCTCACAATTCTGGCTTTGCTTGAGTTCACTGCTGCAGTCACTGTGTCAATTCAACCACTGTGTGTCTCACTCTTCTTGTTGACCCTCTACCAAGCATGATGTCCTATTCCAGGGTTTAGTCTCTCCTGATGACATGTCCAAAGTATGTGAGACAAAGTCTTGCCATCTCACCTTTTAGGATCCCTCTGAGATGTGTTCATTCTTCTGGAAGTTCCTGGTAAATTCAATATTCTTGCCAACAACGTAATTCAAAGGCATCAGTTCTTTGATTTTCCTTATTCATTGTCCAGTTTTTGCATGCATATGAGCTAACTGAAAATACTATGGCTAGGGTTAGGCAGACCTTAGTCCTCAGGACATCTATGTTGTTGTTAAAATTGTAAAGAATCCTTTTGTAGATTTGCCCAGTGCCAGCATCATTATTTGACTTCTTGACTTATGTTTTCATGGGTGTTGATGGTGGATGCAAGTAAAATGAAATCCGTGACAGCTTTAATCCTTTCTCCATTTATTGTGATGTTTATTGGTCCAATTGTGAGGATTTTTGTTTTGAGGTAAAATGCAAACTGAAGGCTATAGTCTAAGTCTTTATCAGTAAATGGTTCAAGTCCTCTTTGCTTTCATCAAGTAGGACTGTCTTCTCTGTTGTCAATGAGCCTTTCTCTAGTCTTGATACTGCCCATGTTCTTCTTCACATTGTCTGACTTTGCAGACAACGGACTCACTTCTAAAATATATAGGAAACTACACCACCTCTACAAGAAAAAGACAAATAACCCAATTTAAAAAATGGGCATAGGACACGAACAGACATTTCACCAAGGAGGAGATTTGGGCAGCCAACAAACATATGAAGAAATGTTCATGATCACTAGCCATTAAAGTGATGCAAATCAAAACAACAATGAGATATCATCTCACACCAGCAATAACAGCAAAGATCAAAAAAGTAGAGGACAATAAATGCTGGCAAGGATATACAGAGACTGGGACATTCCTGCATTGCTGGTGGGATTGTAAAATGGTCCAACATCTTTGTAAAGCAGTATGGCGCTTCCTCAGAAGGTTGGAAATAGAAATATCTTATGATCCAGCAATTCCTCTACTTGGTATTTACCCACAAGAAACACGAGCCATAACACGAGTAGATATATGCACACCAATGTTCATAGCAGTACTATTTACAATAGCAAAACAATGGAGACAGCCTAAGTGCTCATCAACTGAAGAATGGATAAACTGCGGTACAGACACACAATGGAATACTATGCTACCTTGAAGAATAACAAGGAAGTTGAAAGCGACCGCATAACATAGATAAACCTTGAGGACATTATGTTGAGTGAAATTAGTCAATCATAAAAGGAGAAATACTACATAGGACTATTGTAAAAAACTAAGAAAAAGAACACATATTAAAAGTGTGGGGGAGGTTCTTTGCTGGTTACTGGGATGTGGGGATGGAGGGGAAGGTGGAGCACAGGGTAGGGAATAAACACAGGATAGTTAAGGAGCTCTGGTAGCGTAGTGGTTACGAATCGGGCTGCGAACCTTAAGGTCAGTGGTTCGAAACTACCAGCCGCTCCGCGGGAGAAAGATGAGGCTTTCTACTCCCGTAAAGATTTACACCCTCGGAAACCCTGTACAGGGTCGCTATGGGTCGGAACCGACTCGACGGCACTTAACAACAACAACAGTTTGGGTGCTAGGGAGGAGGCAATACACAAGAAGGGGGAGTAGAATGGAAGAACAAGGTGGCTAGAGGAACAGTTAAGCAGGTGTGCATGGGCTAAGGGGGACAGAGATAAATAATGATGTATGTACAACCTTGGAACAACAGGGTTCTGGGATACAGGGTTTGAGGAATGTCTGGAAAGGGCAAAAGTGGGGAAATAATGTTAAGAAGCTTGGCTGTGTTTTGAAGCTTGGTTTTCCTTGCTTACCATTACAAAATAAGACACTTGAGGGGGAGAGAAAGGAATAGCCAGAAATATCACTATAGAAAGCTTGTAAGTGCATCTTCTGCCTATAACTGATTAGAAAACCTAAAATGGGGCTACAACGTGCCCAGTGAAGGAGGCTTCCTGTGGAGCCTCGGCATTACATAAGACCATAGGGGGAATCCTGAACCTCATCCAGAATTTTCTGAGGTGGGAAATTTCCACTGGAAAGAACAAGCAGACCAGCAGCCTGGAGCGATTAGAAGAACAGAAAACACTTCTTGAAAGAAAGACCAACAGGAAAAATACAAAACAATAATGGCAGTCCGACTGACTACTACAAGAACAAGCGAGTTGCTCGCCCCAGAGATATCAAGGCAAGTGGTTGGATCCCCTCAAGGCAAACCCCCTTCCAAGACTAACACTTAATGGGAATACATATGCAGATATGCGCTGTGATTTGTGAACATGTTGGTCACCAATAAGGGGAAATGAGGGGAAAACAGCAATGAAGCTGTGAGCTAAGCCCTACAACGTTCAACAGACTCCTGTGAACCTGGGTGGAGACCTGGTTGGCCAGCAGTTTGGCAAGACCTGGAGACTCCTAGGCCCAGAGTCAGTGACATAGCCACAGAGGACTAGAGCAGAGAGTGAAGCATCCAGCGGATAAGAAGTGAGGGCATATGCATAAGAACACTCATACTTGCAGATAATACCCACTTGACCTAGCTTCAATGGCTAGATGATCAGAATTCAACTAGAAGAAGAAAGAAGAGGAAAAGAGTAATGTGACATAATTTGATGAACTTAACCTACATCTATGGATGCAGTAGCTCACAGAGGGAACAAATCTTTACAGCGAGGATCATTCCCACACCCTTGATACACAGGGTATACAGGGAGGAGCAACTTGGACATTGGCTACCCAAAATGGGGGCTACAAAGGCAAGATGTGACTGGCTTACAAGCTTTCAAGAGGGAGCCTAGATCCAGAGAGCACAGAGGAAGGCAGAATCTCCACGGAGTAGTATCCAATCTGTCTGGGTAGGGCTGATGAAAGAAGATGGGGATGGCTCTCATGTGGTATAATAGTGAATGATTGCTATCAGGACTGACTGTGAGGGTTGGAAAGGCAAAGGTAGACATTTTTTGTAGCCAAACGAGGGGAGTGGTTGATCTTGCAGTCCAGGAGCGGAGGTCTCTGGGACCATCCAGGGAGAAGAGCGGAATGCAGAACCCCACCCAGAGAAGCAGTGATGCCAGAGATGGAGGCAGAGACGATGATGGGGAGAGATGGAATGGCTGGGGAGTCTTGACCCAGAGAGGGAGAAGGGCTGTGTGCTGATGACCAAGGGGATGGTTGATGATGCATGGAGGAGATTGTAACCATGGCAATGAAATGATATACGATAGGATGAATATAAAGCTAATTAATGTTCTCCTATGTAAGCTCACATAATTCACAATAAAACATGTTATTAAAAAAAGATATCTTTATTTTGTGTGATTCACACAGTGCCTTTCACAGTTAATAAAACATAGGTAAACATCTTGTATTTTCTGATTTCAGCCAAGATCCATGTTCTTTTCTGAATTGGCTCATATTTGTTGTATGTGATGTTAGGTGCCATAAAGTGGGTTCTGACTCATAGTGACCTTTATGTACAACAGAATGAAACAAAACTGGGCCCTGGGCCATCCTCACAATTGTTGCTGTATTTGATCCCACTGTTGCCACTGTGTCAGTCCATCTCACTGGGGTCTTCCTCTTTTCTGTTGACCCTCCACTTTGTCAAGCATGATGTCCTCCTCCTGGGACTGGTCCCTCCTGACATGTCCAAAGTATAAAAGTTAGCTATACTTCTAACACAGATTTGTTCTTCTGGCAGTCCATGGTACTTTAAATATTCTTCAACAACACCATAATTCACATGCATCAATTATTCTATGATCTTCCTTATTCACTGATCAATTTTCACATGCATATGAGGTGATTACAAATACAATGGCTTGGGTCAGGTGCTCCTTTAGCCTTCAAAGTTACAGCTTTGTTCTTTAACACTTTAAAAAGATGTCTTTTGAAACAGATTTGCTTAATGTAACACATGGTTTGATTTCTTGACTGCTGCTTCCATGAGCATTGAGTATGAATCCAAGCAAAATCAAGTCTTTGACAACTTTGATCTTTTCTCTGTTGATCGTAGCTCCATTTATTGGTCTAGTTGCAAGAATTTTGGTTTTCTTTAGATACAGTCCATACTGAAAGTTGTAGCTTTGATCTTTATCAGTATTTTAAGTCCTCTTTCCTTCCAGAGAGCAAGGTTGTGTCATCTGCATATCACAGTTTGTTCACGTGTCTTCCTCTAGTCCTGATGTCACATTCTTTTTCACATAACTCAACTTTCTGGATTATTTGCTCAGCATGTAGAATGAATAAATATGATAAAAAGATACAATCCTGGCACACACATTTCCTAATTTTAGAGCATTCAGTATCCCTTGTTCCATCCTAATGACTGTTTCTTAAATCTATGTAAAAGTTATTCATGAGTACAATGAAGCATTCTGGACTACCCATTCATTGCTGTGTTATCTTTCCAACCTGAGGGACTCATCTTCTGGTACTATCTCAGACAATGTTCCACTGCTATTCAGAGGTTTGTAGAGGCTAAACCTCCATAAGTGGACTGCCTCTCTTTCTTCCTAGTCTGGAAGATCTGGTGTCACCGGTCCCTCATGGGTGACCCTGCTGTACATTTTGTTGTAGACAGGCTCATAGTAGCTGCTGTCAATTTTCATAAGATCACCACACTTAACACATCTCCACTTATGCCATCAGGAAAAAAGCTGGATGATTTCGAGCTAGAAAAACTGCCCGTCATGATAGACACATTTTCCAGTTTAGACTTGCAGATGACTTAACAATATTTCATATCATAGCAGGAAAAAGACCATTCTCTCCAGTTTAAATTACAAGGACTGGTTGTCAAACTTTACCAAAGAAATCAGATACTTGCCCAATGTGGCCCCTAGTTAACAGTGACTAACAGGAGTCAATAATGCACTACAACTTTCCCCTAATCACCATATACTTGCTAGTCAGAGTGAGCAGGTGTGAGTCCTTCCCAGAGATTAGGCTTGTCTGTAATTCCAACGTGAACTGTCAGTAGCGTTTGGGTGGAGCACATAATAACACCTTCAAATGTACACTGCTGGGCGGAGTGGGGGAGAATGTGAAGGCGGTAATGCATTCATTTTCAGAGTACAGTCCTGGGGTTAACACCCAAGTTCTTTTCCAAGACTAATTTTGAAAGAGCTGCGCAAGCCAACTTGAGAGAATTTATTTGCTAGCCAAGAAAGCTGGAGACCAGAACTAGCATATTGTATTTTAAATTTAATATAAAACTCAAAATTCTTAGAAATGTAAACTTAATATCCAAGTTTTATTTCAGTTTGTTTTCCAGTTTTGAAATGAAATTTGTTTATATAGTCTCACATCACTTTCAAAAGTACTTCCTTACACTTGCCATACAAAATACTCAGCCAGAACATAAAGACATCCATTCCTCCACAGGGTTAGGGATAAACTCTTTTTGGAAATCTTGACAATGTAATGTTTGTGAAAGGAGGAGAGATTTGAGTAGGGGACAGGACTTTACTATTATGGATAAATTGAGTTAAGCTGTTGTCTTTTAGTGTATTACTATTGAACATATCTGTATGCATCAAAAAAAGATGACTAAAATCACAAATAAAAACTATAAATTAATAACCACAAGAATAAGGTACCTCTCATGACTTCACAGTATGCTTGCTTGTATAGTTGTTACATGGAGTCCTGGCGCTGTAGAATAAGCACTCGAAAGCGAGGTCAGTTTGAACCCCAAGGTTGGTGGCTCAAACTCACCAGCCGCTCCATGGAAACCATATAAAGGGTCACTATGGGTCAGAACCGACTCGATGGCACTTAACACAGTTGTTACATATACCACATATACACTCTTCCCGACAGCTGCAGAAAGAACCTATTGCATGCAAAATAACCACTAAATAACAGTATGGTTTGTACAAACCATTCCATGTCTCTGGCTTGATTCTGTGTTATTATTTGCAGAACTGGTCATCAGTAGCTTGAATAACTTGCGTGCAGCAAAAACCACAGAACAGAGTCTTCTGTGATTTGGATTTATATAAGGTATCTCTTTTAATGACATTTGAGAAAAATTAACAGTTTGAAGTAAAGTCAAATGTGAGAAAAGAAAAAGGTTTGCCCACTTGACTTTCTCACATTTTAATCTTTACTTTTCATCATTTTTCAGAGGCTAAGAAGTCATAAAAGCAGGTGATCTTTTTCATTTTTTACTATATTGCTGCTATTCTGTGATACTACTGCTATCAACTGCCTAAGGGAAAAATCTCCTAAGTAGTACACTGGGAAAACCCGCATGACATTTGACCAATTGTATAAAATGGCTGTGCATTAAAAAGAAATGAAAAACCCAGATTTACATTTGGGGATCACTGCCTCTATCCTTCTCACCTCTCCTGACATCTTGATCAACATCAATAAGAAAAGGAACAGACAGTCATCCAGACTTATGCAAAGTACCTGGTACAGAAGCCATTTTCCCTAGTACTCCCGAAGGGCACGGCCACGCTTTGTCTGGGAAACTCTTGTTTGACTATAGCTGGCAGGCTCCAGCACTGAGAGCTGTCGACACCCACAGCAGGGGAAAAGCCCAGCAATATTTGTTTCTGAAGCAGGGCTTCATCCAGCACTGACTGACTGATGTCAGCCATTAAGTCCCAGCAGGGCAGGGAGCTTGACTTCACAGCAGGCTGCTCTCCACCTGGGCAGATGCTAAAAGTTGTGCTGTCTGGAACGTGAAAATACTGAAAAAAGAAGACAATGCAGAAACAGCACATTATGACAATGAGGTAGCAGAGTGAAGCCCAGCTTCTAAGACACTGTAACCACATTTGGCCAGGTCGGGAGCACAGGAAGATTGGAAATCTTTTTCCATGAGAAAGCGGCAAGACAAGCAGTGTTAGCTATCAGGGTTTGCTTACCTGGGCTAAGTGAGACATGACAGAGCTGAGGTGATTCAAACGGTGATACAATGTTCTCCTTACCACTTCATATAGTGCACAAAAGCAGAAACCATTGGGATCGAAAGGCCCCGTACGTGGTGGAGAGGAGTCTTTTCAGATTGATCCATTCTTGGGCTTATTATAAGGCCCTCTGAATGGGACCTTAATAAAGAACTCTGAATGGGAGCTCAGAGGACAAACATTTAAGGTTCATCCTGAAGGAGACATTGACCTCAAGTCTTAGGATGGAATTCCATACTAGAGTCTAAGGATTCTTAGACTTAAAAGGTACCTTTAGAAAAAATCATTTGTTTGAACGTCTTTCACAACCAAAGAAACTGTTGCCAGATAGCTGATGACTTGTCCAGGCTCACAAAACCAGAGCCATGAGTCCCGCTGCCCAGTTTGGTGGTTCCCCCATAACCCCAATACAGTCTTCTTGAGAAGCTCGGGATTATCTTGAATTAAAAAAATTCCCACCCCTGCATCATTTGGGGACTAAAAGAGGGGAATAATCCTTAGCTGCAGGACAGAGCCTGGACTTCCCCTTTCTCCAGGAAGCTTCAGTAAATCAGGAATTCTTTGTGAAGCTGATACTGTGGATGCTGCTGGCTTACTATCTCCCCTTTTTACTTAGACTAGTTCATTTAATCCTCACAAAAACTTGCAAGGAACACATAATCATGCCCATTTTGTTGCTGTTATGTGCCGTGGAGTCAGTTCCACTCATAGCGACTCTGTACAGGGTTTCCAAGGCTGTAAATCTTTACGGGAGCAGAAAGCCTCATCTTTCTCCCGCAGAGCAGCTGGTAGTTTCGAACTGCTGACCACGAGGTTCGCAGCCCAATTCGTAACCACTATGCTACCAGAGCTCCTTATGCCCATCTTAACAATGCGGAAAAGTCAGTGTGTAAAGCCCCAATCTCCTGTTTTGGAAAGTTCTGGTACATTCCAGGGTAGGGAGAAGCACAAGATTTATTCAGATATGATGATTTCTTTCTTGTCAATTTCACCTACTAAGTAGACATTGTTGACTCTATTTCCCAACTGGGCAATCAACCAGGTCATTTGCTTACTTCATCAACATTCTAATGAACCAAGATGCAATTTCTTTGTTCTCTCATTTTTTGCAAATTCCACAATGCACTGTAAACTTAAAACTGTAAGGCTTTTACCATATTTCATTGTTTCAACACAATGTTTGGGAGCTGAACTTAAGTGATAATAAGAAGTGTATTCAAAGGTAAAGAAAGAATGAATACTTTCTTACACAAACATTTCAAAAGCATAAATCAATAGTCTATAAGTTAGCATGTCTTGTTTCTAAGCTATTTTTAAATGCTCGCCAGTTTATTTTAAATGTACAAAGAGTTAACCGGACAATCCCTCTGAACATTCTTGGGCTTATTTTCCACATATTCTATCACTGAGATGTTAATATCAATGAGCTGGTACATCTTCACGTTTATGCCTCACATAGACACAGAGCTGCGGTGTTCTCAGACCCAGGGCTCAGTCTGGGCCCAGCCTTCTGCCGGCACTGCAGCCTGCAAGGCAGATGTTCCTTCACCGTGCTGGTGTGGGCTGAAGTGAACATGCTGGAGGATCAGGCTGCAGCCTCTGCCCAGATGTGCCACAGGCAGACAAGTCCAGCAGTGAGTCAGGATCTGCTGCTCTGTGGAATTTCTGCTCGTGAATTACCCTGGAAGCACTGACCAAGACATCCATGTGTTTAACTAAAGCAAATATCAGGGGAATCTCTTTACCTATCTTTACTGTTTGTTCTATCAAGGTTAGAAAGTGTTGATTCTATTTACTGTTAATGTACACAACGATCATGTTATAACGGCTTACCTCCTTTCCAGAATGAGGACTGGAGATGACTAACTGCGGCTTATAAAATATTTGATACGGTGTATTGTTGATTATTGTAGTTTTGTCTTCAATCTGAATAATTTGCATGCCTTGTTGTACCATGGAGGAGATGCAGAACTGACACAACTGCAAGACAATGAGGAGAAGAGTGGCAGCTGAAGTACTGTAGGGCTTACGGGAATCTCTTAATTACTTCTAAAAGGTTATTTTACCTAGCAGCACAACCCCAAGCTGACCTTTCATTCCAGAGTAGTTACTTTTTAGAGCCCTCTTTCAGTCTCAAAAACTGTCCTGTTTGGGAAAAAAGTGATCAACATCGTTACAGACGACCCACTAAGGAAAATCAATAAGAGACGAGCCAGTATTAGCTCTACAACAGAGCACTTGAGCAACCCAGTGACTTTTGCTGTTCTTGTGTGTTAACAGAGCTCCCTGGATGGTGTGGTGCTGAAGGTTTGTACTCCGCTACTAAAAGTCAGCAGTTCAAACCCACCCAACAACGGCACAGAAGAATGGTCCCGTGTTCTGCGTCCATAAAAATGACAGTTAAGAAAATCCTATTGAGTTGTTCTGCTCTGTAACACACAAGTCAGAATCGACAATGGTCAGGAGTTTGGTTGTACTGGGATAGATAAAGGCTTGTTTTCAAGGGATTTCACCAATTAATTCACAGAATACTTATAGAGTATACATCTCACCTACTTTGGACATAATATCAGGAGGAACCAGTCCCTGGTAAAGAACTTCATACTAGATGAAGTAGAAAGTCAGTTAAAAAAAAAAAGTAAAACCCCAACAAGATGGACTGACAAGGCGGCTGCAATGATGAGCTCAAACATAGTAACAATGATGATGTTGGTGGAGACGTGGGTAGTGTTTCATTCTGTTCAACAGAAATTTGTAGGAATTGGAACTGACTCAACAGCACCTAACAACAGCAACTCATACATTTGTGCTCCACTTGACACCCACACGGAGCTACTATTATCCCCATTTTACAGAAGGGGGTTTATGAGACACAAAGGGGAATATGAAGCCTTCCCACTTGATATGAAGAAAAGATGTTCAGAGAATATGTTATTTGACTAAGGACACCTATCTAGTAAGTGGTAACATCAGGATTTAAATATAGGTTCTTTGATAGCTAAACTCATGTGTTTCTACTATGGCTGATTGGTAACTGACTCATTTTCTACACAAAGAACTGTTGTTCTGAAATTTGAAAACACTTTCTTATATGAAAGAAGATGACCCAAAGGATTGTAACTAAGTGAACCCAGAGCTCCACACAATTTTAGACACCTGTTTCTCATGCATTGTGGCTGTCACTTAATAAATGCTAAGTCACTGTTTATGAGATTTAATTGTACTGATGCTTACCTTAGGAGAAAAGAAGCGGCTCTCTTGAGATCTATTCAACTTCTTGCCTCAAAAAGATGAAACCCTAGTTGTACAATGGTTTAACACTGGGATGTTAACTAAAAGACTGGTAGTTTGAAATCACCCCACGGGTCTATGGAAGAAAGATCAGGAGATCTGCCCCTCTAAAAAATTACAGGCTAGAAGACCCTATGGGACACTTCTACTTTGTCACATGGGGTTGTTATGAGCGGGAATTGATGGGATGACACACAACTCTCCATTACATAAATGTAGTCCTGGTGAGGTACTGCAGGATAATGCACTGGACCACAAGGTCACTATGAGCTGCAAGGTTGGCAATTCAAACCCACCAGCCACTCCTCAGAAACCCTATACAGGGTCACTATGAGTTGGAATCAACTTGATGGCATTCAAGCACGATAAAGTAGTTTAGTACCATCCGCTATTCCCATTGCAACCCTGTGCAAGTTTCATGAGGGCTTCCTTCCTTCTTATCAGCTGGCAGGAAATGTTATCCCCCCAAAAATGGCCAACTCTGTATAACATACATGGTTTTGAGTTTCTGGCTATGATTCTTCTTTTTTCTTTTATTGAAAAACAAAAAAAACAAAAAACAAAAAAAAAACCCTAACGCCATTATCTCCCTCAAATTGCTGGTCCATCTTTACCTTCCTAGTCAAGTGGCTCCCAAACTCTTACACTGTTATTCATTGAGCCCCTGCAGTCTAACTTCTAGCCCCACCATTTCCACCCACCACCATAGTGTGTTGATTTTGACTCCACACTATTGTTCTGACAGGACAAAGTAGAACTGCTCCTTAGGGTTTCTGAGACTGTAAATCTTTAAGGATGCAGACTGCCACATCTTTCTCTTGCAGAGTGACTGTTGGGTTTGAAACACCCAATGCTTAACCCATTGTGCCACCAGTGTCCCTTCCACTCTTAAAACACCACCAACAACCTCAAAACCCTGCCACTGAGTTGATTCTGACTCATAATGATTCTGTTTAGGGTTTCTGATGCAATTCTGTTTAGGGTTTCCATATTTATGGAAGCAGAAAGCTTCATCTTCTTCCAGTGGAGCAGCGGTGGGTTTGAACTGCCGACCTTGAGGCTAGCAGTCCAGTACTTATGCTACAACACCATCTAGGGCTCCTTCCACTCTTCCAAAGCAATGGCTTAATCCCTTAATTAAAAAGACCTTCTCAGCCCTCATTTTCCTATTCTTCTTATTGCATGAATACTGTGCATTTAAATAAGCTACTTGCTGTTGTTGTTAAGTGCTGCGGAGTTGGTTCCGACTCATAGCGACCCTATACAGGGTTTCCGAGGCTGTAAATATTTACGGGAGCAGAAAGCCTCATCTTTCTCCTGCAGAGCAGCTGGTAGCTTCATACTGCTGACCCTGTGGTTCGCAGCCCAATTCGTAACCACTACCAGAGTCTACTGGTAGAGTCATATTAAATGAAGGAAAATTCTTGCTTCCTCACTCTCTTAAAAAGACTCATACCATAAACTCAGTGGTGGATTCTGCATATAAATATTAAAGTGACATACTCTAAAAAAAAACATAATTATTCATCAATGTGATAACTGCTATTGTTGTTGTTAGGTGCCATCAAGTCGGTCCTATGCACAACAGAACGAAACACTGCCTGATCCTGGGCCAACCTCACAATCGTTGCTATGTTTGAGCCACTGTATCTATCCATCTTGTTGGGGGGGTCTTCCTCCTTTTCTCCAGCCTTCCACTTTACAAAACATGATATCCATCTCTAGTGACTGGTCCCTCCTGACAATATGTCTGAAGTGTGAAAGACAAAGTCTGGACATTCTGGCTTCCAAGGAGCAAGCTGGCTATACTTCTTCCAACACAGATCTGTTTGTTCTTTTGGCAGCCCATGGTACTTTCAATATTCTCCTCCAACACCATAACGCAAATGGATCAGTTCTTCTACACTATGCCTTATTTACTATCCAACTTTCTCCTGCATATGAGGTTATTGAAAACACTTTGGCTTGCATCGTGCATCCTAGTCCTCACACTGACATCTTTGTTCTTCAGCACTTTAAAGAAGTCTTGTGCAGCAGATTTGCTTAATGTAATACGTCTTTAGATTTCTTGACTGCTTTTTCCATGTGTTGATGGTTGATCCAAGCAAAATGAAGCCTTGACGACTTCAATCTTTTCTCCATTTATATGATCCAGTGGTGAGGATTTTTGTTTTCTTTACATTATAGTGCAACCATACTGAAGGCTGTGGTCTTTGATCTTCATTGATAAGTATTTTAAGTCCTCTTGGCTTTCAGCAAGCAAGGCTGTATCATCTACGTATCACAGGTTGTTAACGAGTCTTCCTCCAATCCTGATGCCATATTTTTCTTCACATAATCCAGCTTCTCGGATTATTGGTTCAACATACAGATTGAGTAAATATGGTGAAAGAATACAACTCTGGCACACACCTTTCCTAATTTTAAACAATTTGGTGTTCCCTTGTTCTGTTCAAACAACTGCTTAGTCTATGTACAAGTTCCTCATGAGCACAATTAAGTGTTCTGGAATACTCACAGTTTGCAATGTTGTCCATAGCTTGTCATGACCCACACAATCAAAAGCCGTTGTGTAGTCAATAAAGTACAAGTAAACATCATTCTGGTATTCTCTGCTTTCAGCCAAGATTGATATGACATCAGCAATAATATCTCTCATTCTACATCCTCTACTGATACTGGCTTGAACCTCTGGGATTCTCTGTCAATGTATGGTTGCAGCTGTTTCTGTATTAACTTTAGTAAAACTTTATTTGCATGGGATATCAATGATATTGTCTGATGATTTCTGCATTCTGTTGGGTCACCTCTCTTTGGAATGGGCACAAGTACAGAGCTCTACCAATCAGTTGGTCAGGTAGTTGTCTTCCAAATATGCTGGAAAGATGAGTGAGTGCTTTGAAAGCCATATCACTTTGTTGGAAGATTTCAATTTGTATTCCATCAATTCCTGGTGCCTTGTTCTTTGCCATGGACTTCAGTGCACTATAGGAAAGAGGATCTTGAAGTGTGGTCAGGAGAAGGGTCTCTGAGACATTTTCAGCAGCTCCCAAAATGAAAACGATTTTACAATACTATAATACTAAGATATTACTTGTCTTTTTAACATTCTGTTTCTCTCAGAGTGAGTCCAGTGGAGTTTCTCCAAGGCTATGGGCTGTGACATCATCATTCTGACACCAAAAGGAATGTGTACTTGTACATTTTTAGTTTTAATAAAATTCTTTTCATTTCTAATTTGGTAAGTATTTACAGATATAACCCATAGAAATAAAAGATATTTGGGGGTCATCAGTAATTATTGAGTATAAAAGGGTTATAAGACCAAAAGGTTTGAGAATCAGTACTAAAGGATGATAAAATATCGAGATAGCTTTAACTGTTCATTCATTTATTCACAGACATTTGTTCAGTACTTGCTGTGGCCTCTTTGTGAGGCATGGAGGTACTGAGTGTTTGATAAGGTATTATGACATTTTTTCCAGGTTTTGATGGTAGTTCTCAACTTACAACTACTCAACTTTGGGTGATTCACACTTACAGCTCTTTGCCATTTACACCATGTTACAGAACTTTGGCTGCAGAGCATAAACATGTGTTACCCAGACAACTTTGAGGAAATGGATCCCAACCCTGAGTACTAAGGGAAAACCAGCTTCTTTGTATCAGGGAAATTAATTTTTTTTAAACTACCAAATGATATTAATTTTTTTTTCCAAAAGGTTCTTTAAAGATGCCTGTCAAAAGTCAATGTCTCCCCAAAGAAAGGTCATTCTGACAAAGGTCTACTTATGACATTGCTCTCTTTTTCTGACCTGGGGCAGCTAAAATAAAGGTATTTCAAGTTCAGCAATAAAAACTCTACAAGGTCCATGATGATAATGTCCTTTCATACATACAATTCAATGTGATTTGTTAACTACATTATTCAGCTTAACTGGTTCTCAAAGACTTCAGAAAAGATTTATGTTGACTAGCACACACCATTTGTATTCACTCATATAACTGATGAGGTATGCTTTTGGTATCCATACCACTCATCTGTCAGTTTGTGGTACTGTGGCGACTTACGTGCTGCTTGCTGTGATGCTGGAAGCTATGCCACCACTATTTTAAATACCAGCAAGGTCATTCATGATGAACTGGTTTCAGCGGAGCTTCCAGACTAAGACAGACTAGGAATAAGGATAGGCGGACCACTTCTGAATGTTTAGTCACTGAAAACCTCATGGATAGCAGCGGAACATTGTCAGATATAATGCCAGAAGATGAGCTCCTCAGGTTGGAAGGCACTCAAAATATATCTGGGGCAGAGCTTCCTCCTCAACGTGAATAGATTTTAATGATGTGTATGGGGCAAAGCTTTTAGGACCTACATTTGCTAACTAAAAATGAGAAGAAACCGCTGCAAACATCCATTAATAACAGGAATGTAGAAGACCCAAACAAGATGGATTGACCTAGTGGCAGCAACAATGGGCTTAAGCTTAACAACTCTGAGGAGGACACAGGACCAAGAAGTGTTTCCTTTTGTTGTACATAAGACCACTCTGAGTTGGAACTGATTTGATGGCACCTGGTGTGGCACTGTGGGTTAATGCGCCAGACTGCAAAGCCATTTGAACTGCAAGGTTGGCAGTTCAAGCTCACCAGCTGCTCCTTGGAAACCCTATACAGGATTGCTATGGGTTGGAACCAACGTGATGGCACTTAACAACAACAACAAATACCTTTAAAACGATGGTATCACTGTGTTGCAGAACACAACTCTCTTGTATCATTGCTTCTGTGGGAAAACCAGTATAGACTCATAAGGTTTTGCTCAGGAGGCCCTTTCCAGGAACATAACCTTTGCTGCTATTGCCTCTCTCATTTCACTCATACTCAGAACGCTAGCAACTCTACTTCCTGCTCTAAGAAAAACAGACCAACTACAGTTTGTGGATATTTTGGGATACGTTCATATCCCCCACATACTATATATAACTGTGAGTGTTCTGAAATAGAGCAGTTATTGGGTAAATTATTTGGTAAAGGACAAAAAACTCAACATGAAACCTGAAAGGTTAAGAAGTTAAGAAATCAAGTATTTCACTGCTATAAACTTTTTAGAACAGATAATAAAAAAGAGGAACCAAAAAAGAAAAAGGCAGACTCATTTCAGACAGGGTAGTGGACGGCATGCCTTGCCCTTGAGCAACCCAGACTGTGATCCTACCTTCTGATGTCCTGGGAAAGCACCAAGTCTTACTTCCGCATCAACAAATCCCTCTTCGTCCAATATCACAACTTCACCATTACCGCCATCTTTCCATTTTGGAGATGTCAGGTTATGGACCAGTTTAATTGCTACTGACTTGTGCACAGTATTTGTATTTGCCCAGTATATGCCAATTTGAAAAGCTTCCTGGAAAAATAATGCCTCCATTATATAAAGTATTTTTCTTAACTTTGATATTTTTTACCTCAATCTTCAGGAATTTTTAAAATATATAATATTGATATTATATAAAATAGGTCTAAGGCAACCAAATCAAAGTTTTTCTTCTTTTCTTTTTTTTTGGGGGGTGGGGGGGAATAACAGGCATACATATATTTTATTTTGGTTTCCAATGACTTTTTGACTCACATTGGAATTCACATTTCTAGAAGTGGAAAAAACAAAACAACCAAAACCTCAAACTGTGACTATCCTGTAAATTCCAAATACTTAAAACGGAAGATTTCACCTCATTTGACAAGATAATAATATGTAACATTAGGACCATGTAGGTCAACATTCCAGACACATAAGGTAACATCATCTGAATAATTAATAAAGACACAATTCAATAAAGGTATGGACTGGAGCTAAAACAAAACAAAATGGCTCAACAACTTTGAAACTTTTCCTTATTGGGAAAATATGAAACATTTTATTTGGGAATTCCTTTGACTCTGTGTTCTTATAGACTTATATATAAACTTTCTTGAGCTGGAATTTAAAGTTTTCCAATTAGGCTTTTCTTTCTATAATTGCCCAGTTTTTGTTATCAACAACTGGGCAGACATCTGTAATTATGGCTCTTCAAGTCATTTATAAAGGAAAGAGGGCCTTTAATAAAAGGGCTTCTCAGAACTCAGAGATTTTATAGCTCTGTATTCTTAACATATCCTGGGTAGACCAACCCCAATGCTTGTCAAATATTCTGCACACAATGAAAACAAGAATGTAACCAGTCAAGTTATCAAACTTAATAACTCAAGCATAAATATTGCTGATGGGAAAACAAAGACAGCTGAAACGTCTGTGAATATCAAAGAACATTCCACACCCCTTACGTATGCATTTAAAAGGACAGTTTTCCACAAGTAATTCATTCTGTTATAAACATAAATGTAACCTCAATTGGTTTTTGAGAGAAATGAATTTATATTGGGTTAAAAAGTTATCATACCTGAAAGTTAGGAGGGATAATAATTTTGCCAGCAGGAACCTGTAGAACAATCTTCTCTCCTTCAAATAGCCAGAGGTCCCACTTGGATTGATTGATAAGCAGGGCCCAGGGTAGAAGTTCTATCAACAAGGTTTTAACATATGGCTTCCAGACTGACAGCTTTACCCGCATTGGGCTATCCCACTGACTCAGCTGTTCATTCCTGTTCCAAATACCACATCCAAGACACTCAATGAAATATGATGATTTCGGTATTCATGAAATACACTTACAGATTCCAGACATGCAAAACTCCTGTATGATATTACCTTACCCCAAAGTTAGCCAAGGCTGAATTTGCATCTGAGAGGAAGCAACTTTTCATGTAATTATATTCAAGATTATGAGTACAGAAATTTACAAAATATTCTTACTAGTTAATAAAATAAAAGTCAGACATACAAATACCTACTTTAAAAAACAAGCAAAAAAACACCTTTCATGATATCTAACTTTTTTATGAATGGCCATTTATCTTTTAATATTGCAAAACATTATTAAAAAAGATTGCTGAAGAACATTACCTGTCAGAATCCTTCTTATTATAGGGCCATGTGGGCTGAAGGGATTTTTCTAGCCCATAGAATTCTGAAAGGATCTGATCAGCTGGGCATTCAGGGTGTATCTTTGTGGCTATTTGTTTAATGAGGGATGTTGAGATGGGAACAGCACAGTCTGAAGGATCATCTTCTTCTCTATGAAACAGGAAGAAAAAGCAAGAATAAACATCACATTTTTACAGAAGTCTACTAAAAACAACTAATGACAATATATTACAGACCGATTTTTGGTGGGTTTAGGCCAATATTTGGTTATTTGTTGTTGTTAAGTGACATTGAGTCAGTTTTGACTCATAAAGACCTTGTATAGGGTTTCAGAGGAGTGGCTGGTGAGTTTGAACCACTGACCTTGCAATTCAAATGGACCTTATGGTTGAGTGCTTATCCTACAGTGCCACACCAGGACTCCCATATATATATATATATATATATTTGGTTATTTAGGACTAATTAAAGTTTTTGGATAATCTGGGCTCTTCCAAAGTGGTGTGTGATTTCTTGAAAAGTCACTAATGACAACCTGAGGGTAAGTCAGAAAGTATTGCTACTAGGGTTCCAGTTTACATTTGCATGAGTTTAGTGGGTGACTGTGGATAATACTCTTATCTTAGACTCATCAGGGTGCCTCAAAACTAAAAAGATCCAATTAAAACAGTAGATTATGAAGCCATCAGATGGGTCAATTCAATTCAAGGCAGAAAGACCAGCTCAGAATGTTATGGTAACTGTTTCTTTGGGGGTGGGTGGGGGGAATTCCAAAGAGATAATCTTGATCGATTTTCTCAAAAGGCACTAGATGATCATGGGGACTGCTTATGAAGAAGTTTCAAGGAAACTGGAATAGTGTACTAGTGAGAAAAAGGCTAGGAAAGTTACACTGAGGAATTTTTTCCATCACAATAATGCACTTGCTCGATCTTCAGAGGTAACAAAGACTGTCTTATGAAAATCTCATTGGGAACCTTACCCCATTCACCCTACAAGTGTGTTTTTGCCTCTTCAGACTTCTTTTTGTTCCTCTAACTCAAAGAACATTTAATGGGAACAACTATTTGAGTCCCTTGATGAGACCGAAACTGCTGCTTTAACATAGTGTAAATTGGAAGAGTACAGAATTATTCATTATAGAAATGGAAACCTGCCTTTAGAAGGGGCTAAATCTTGATGGAGGATATATGTCAAGAAATAATAGCTTCACATTTTGAAATTTCTGTTTAATAATAAATTTTTATTTAATAATAAAGGTTTCTATGATATTATAGCAATACTTTTCAACTTACCCTCATATGTTATAGACCAATATATTTGGAATCTGGGGACTGATCAAAGCGTTTGGGTAATCTGGGCCTTGGCTTTTCTTCTTCTTCCCCTTAGTTTTGGGTGAGATTTCTATCCATCTCTTCTCCCACTACAGAAATCATGTGTCCATTACATATTCTGTGGGATCTCTTTTGATTATTTCTAAATCTACTAAGAATGGCTGAATTTTATCTAAACTACAGAAGACAATAAACGGATGCTGTTGTTGTTACTAAAGCACTCTGGTGGGACTTGGCTGGTATCCAAAAGACTGGTGGTTTGAATCCACCAACCATTCCAAAGGAAAAGGATTAAAAACGGCTACGGACCAATTCTACTCTGTCCTATAACATAACACTGAGTTGGAATGGCCTCTACGACGATGGGGCTTTGAATGGGTTACTGTCATTAATGCCGTTGTTACCATTGTGTTGATTCTGGTCCACTGTGGTCCCATGTATGCAGAGTAGACCTGCTCCACAGGTTTTAAGGTTGTGACCTTTCAGAAGCAGATCACCAGGCTGGGTTTTCTGAAGTAGCTCTGGGTGGGTTCAAACCACCAGCCTTTTGGTTAGTAGTCAAGTGCTTAACCATGGTGCCACCCAGGTCAATTCTGACTTACAGTGATCCTACATAACAGAGTAGAAGTGCCCCATAGGGTTTTCTAGAATATAAGTCTTCATAGGGTTAATGTATTGGACTGCAAGGCCAATTTGAACTGCAAGGTTAGCAGTTCAAGCTCACCAGTCCCTCTTCGAAAATCCTATATAGGGTTGCTATGAGTCAAAACCAACTCGACGGTACTTAACAACAAACAACAAGTCTTCATAGGAGCACATCTCGGTAGGTCTTTTCTCCTACAAAGTTTGCTGGTGGGTCTAAACCACCAATTACTTGGTTAGCAGTTGAATAGTTAAGCATTGTGCTACCAGGACTCCAAGTGAACACTTGTTGTGACTGTCATTAAGTGCCGTCGAGTTGGCTCCGACTCATAGTGACCCTGTAGAGAGTTTGTCAGGAGCAGCTGATGGATTTTAACTGCCAACCTTGTGGTTAGCAGTCCAGTTCCTATTCTACAGTGCCATACTAGGACTCCAAGAGAACACTAGACAGGGCAATTTAAAAGTAACATTCTTATAAAATAAGCAACTTTATCAAAACAAACAAGCTGTATTTACCCTGCACTCAATAGTACAAGGTTATTTTTCTACTGAACTCTCTTAGGAAGATGGAAGGATTTTTCCAGTACCTTGCTTGAAATGTTAAGTGATGTACAAGGTCAGGTTCTATGTTTTGCAGTGGTTTTTCCTGTCCTCTTCCTGGAATAATTTGTGTTTCACTCAATCCCAGACTCCTCTTCTCCAAATGTATGATAATGGGGTCTGGAAGATGACTCCTCATGATAAAAAGAGGGCTGAACACAATCTATAAAAATAAAAGGACAGAACAACTTTCATATTTGCTGTGTTGCAGTATTCCAGCTGTTTGATGCTGAAACAAACTTGCAATAAATCTCTTCCCCGGGTCACCCTGACAATTTATTTCAGGATAGAAAAGGTCAAAGTCATATACCATATTTTAGAGTTGGGAAAGCACTCACCATCCGTTGCTGCACTTGAGAATTGGGTTCTAAAGTCAAAACTGTACACCAGACATAAATAATGGAGCTGTTTGAAGATGGCACCTACAAAGAAGACAGTAAAAAGGTCCAATTCAGTATTAAACGGTTTACTATTTAATCAAAATAAGGCACAGATATATCGATTTGGAGGATTAAAATAACAAAACAAAACCAAAAGAGCAACTAAGCAAAACCAGACTTCATTACGGCATGAACTGAGCGTGCACTGAGCTGATGAGGCCAATTCTTCCCATAAAGACAAAAACTGTGTATGAGGCTGAGTAGGAGAATAAAAGAGAGGAATTCAAATGATAGCGGAGACACTGAGAAGGAGACAAAAAAGGAACTATCTCAGAGCTTCTCTAGTGAGAAGGATACTACCCCAGGCCCCACCCCATTCTCCAACCCCAGTGAAGCGGGATCTTCAAGATCCTATTTGCCTCCATCTGACAGAGAGAGGGTCTTGGCTGTAAGAACTAGTGGAACTGCTGCAAATGTGTTGGCAGAGTATGGGGAGGAAATGCTATGAGAAGTACTATCCAAAGCCTTCCTAAACTGCACTCTTACATATATCACTTGTAATAAATTGAATGCAGTTACAGAGCAAAGAGCACATTGAAACCAATCTCATTTTAAAATGTCAAGTCTATCTACAGCTCATACCTGAATGACAAGGCTATACTCAGGGGTCTTGGGGTCCAAGCACACATCTCTTGACCAATCCTCATCTCCTTTGGCCTTCACACACAGCTCTGTCAGTTCGTTGTTTTCTAGTATGTAGGAAGGCAATTTCTGTTTGGCTGTGAGGCAGTCAAAATGTTCTCGAACCACAGCTTGTCCATCTTGACCAATATAATGCTGAACAACTTTCAGTTCTATGCTTTGAGACAAGTAGCTACAGATGATTTGTCTTCCACAGATGATAATCTACAGGGCAATAAATACATGAAGACTTAATTCAAACTTCATGGATTAGAAATTTGTAACAGTTCAGTCAGAGTAAATTATGTTGATGTTAATGGAAAGAAAATGAAGTTATCTGCTTAATTAGAGAATACAGGAAGAGAGAGTGATCTGGAAGGAGAGAATTAATTTCACTTTAGTTGTGTTAAATTTGTAGCACTCAAAAGACAGATATAAAGGCAGGGTCCCTGCCCAGCTAGAACTAGGTATCAGGTAGGTGCTTAAGGGAGAAGGTGGAGATGGAGATCAAGACTTGTGAAATAAAAGTCCTGCAAACGTGTACTAGAGAGAAGATAGTCCAGCTGGAAGAGAAGGCTCAAATCCAGTCATTGACCAATACTTTAGGGGTAGACTCAGGGTATAAAGCCATAGAAGGGACTGGAGGATTCTGGATGTGAATCAGGTATGTAGTTTGTCACAGCCAGGGAAGAAGTGACTGGCCAGGAGATGGTCAATCAGCATCATGCAGCAGCTAAAAAGGGCAGGATGGAAGCAGACCTGCAGTTCAGGAAACTGAGGGCAGCTCTGAGCAAATCTGGTCCTTGAAGCTGATTCCCAATGACTTACTGCAGGAGCCTTGGTGTGGCGCTGTAGGATGAGTACTTGACTACAAGGTCGATTTGAACTGCAAGATCAGCAGTGCAAACTCACCAGTTGTTCCTTGGAAACCCTATACAAGGTCGCCATGGGTTGGAACCAACTCAACTTCACTCAGCAACAACAACAAGAAGAAGAGACTGATAACATGATCTTTAATGCAGACATGGTTTTACCTAGTTATAGTTCATTTTATTCCATTGTTTTCTGCATTGTAGGAATATGCATCTTGAAAAACACAAAATTATCCATTCAACCCATGGAACCCAACTATCCATTCAATCCAACTTTGTATCTAGCTAAGAGTGTATAGTTCATAGTGAGCATTAAGGAATGTATCCCATATTGAATTAAACTAAAAAGATGATGCAATTTTATTCTTTCCAATGAATACTTTTAGTATCCAATGAATACCAAAATCTTCCTTTGATAGGAACATTCACCATGATTGGGGAAACTGGGACTTCCACATATTGGATTTTCCCCACTTACAATACTTTTCCCAGATTCTAAAATGATAACAATAACTACCACATATCGTGTATTTATCAATCTAAACGTTTCCACAAATTAACTCTTACTCTCACAGCAGCCTTATGAAGTAGGTGCTACTATCATTCCCCTTCTTAAGAAGAAAACAGACCCAGAGCTTGAGTCACTTGTCTGATGTCAACCAGACAATCTGGCTCAGAGTCTGTGCTGAAGCACCCTGGTAGTCAGCCGCTCATAAAATTATCTACTCACTGATGAAAACTTAGAAACTATTAAAAAAAAAAAAAAAAAAAGAGGGATGATTTCCCATTATAATATAAATGTGATGGACACTGTGAGTTTCCTTCCCATTTAGCTGCTCTTTTTTCCCTTGTTGAAATTCTTGATTTGGATTAGGTATAAAAATGTGGCACACCTTTTGGAAGGGAGACACCACACCCAGCTCTTATGATTGTCATAATTGGCACATTTATTTTTTTGTTTTACAATGAATAATCTGACTAAAATGTGCTTTTCTTGTTGATGTCACCATTACTTTTAATGAACCATTATTGAAAATACATGTAACAATTTATGAATGAACTATTATTTGTCCCAAATGAATTTGATATATTGATAGATCAAAATTTAAATGTCAGCTTTGTTTTAACTTCCACTGTTTGAGCAGCGAGGTTTAGAATTTTATCAAACATTTGTTATCTAACTATATATCTTATATCTCTTGTCTTTAGAAGGAGTACATTTGTACAACCAAGTGTGCTTAACTGTTATATTTCTCCAAAATTCTTTAATCATTATAATCTTTTAAAATAACATATTCATAATAATGAGCATACAGACCAATTGAACCATGAGTCCTAAGTTAGCAGGAAAACCTTTCTTTAGTCCATGCTAAGGGTAAGGAGACATTCATGATAAGTATCAAGATGTCATCTTGCTGTTACTGTGAAGGGCCAGCCATCAAGCTGATTCTGACTCATAACGACCCTGATTAGGGTTTCCAAGGAGCAGCTGGTGGATCTGAACCGCCGACTTTGAAGTTAGCACTCCATTGCTTATCCTACAGCACCACATCAGAACTCCATAGCATATCCTAACTTGAAACACACAACTGAAAGCTCTGAAGCAGTATTTAACTCTTCTTATTCTGGGTGTACCCAGGCCTGGAAAAATTGTATACACGTTGCTCTTGCTCCAGAACCTGTGGCCCCCATAAGATTTAGAGGAGAATTTTACTGTCTCGTCCAGAAACCACAGAGTCTATGTAGCCATCTGGGACTCACTTTGTTTAAAGACAAAATCCTCTTGGTGGGTTTTTATAGTTTCATTTGCAACTAAAAAGCCTGTAAATCAGCTTTCAAATCTGATAAAATAAAATCTTTACAAGTGGTCAGGGAGGGAAGGCTACTCGGATGAAGTAAACTCCACCATGGCCACTCACTGGAGTGGTGGCACGTCATGGCTCCTCTGATGCTGGGCTCAGTAAGAGAGGCATGTTCGCTTTTCTTCAAAGTGGTAAACTTTACAATGCCTTTAGTTTTTGAAATTATAGTCCAAATTTCAAGATTAATTTATCAACTGAAGACAGCCACTTACTTTTTTTTAAATGTAGAGTTTCTCTTTAATACAAATTTCCAGGTTTCACACTAATTCCCCTCTTTCCCCAAAGCCACAAAGATGCATATGGAAGATTTCTACATATGATTTTACTTAGCAGGTTTCAGAACTCTTATTAGATCAGTGCCACAGAGAATCATGATATTAAAGAATAACTCCAGAGCACCAGATGCACTGGAAGATGATATCTTAGCTATGATTAAAAGTATGTGTATAAAGATACACATATACACCAGGACTCCTACACAGATACAGATAGACATGTAAGGGTTGAGCGTAGTAACGGTTTCCTCACTGAAGGGATGGGGAACATGAAAATGCATGTAAGTACATGAGTAACTAGTTGTATCTTGCACAATATATATATACACACACACATATATATGTAATGTTGTTGTTGTTAAGTGCCATCGAGTCGGTTTCGACCCATAGCGACCCTGAATAGGGTTTCTGAGGCTGTAAATCTTTACAGGAGCAGATCGCCTCATCTTTCTCCCGCGGAGCCGCTGGTAGTTTCGAACTGTTGACCTTCCGGTTCGCAGCCCGATTCGTAACCACTACGCTACCAGAGCTATATAAGTCTAATGTATAAGTTACTGAGAAATTTTATATGTGGTCAGTGGTCAGTTTTCATTTAATCAGGGAGATGAGAAGGGCATAGGAAAGGCAGAACACAGATAACCAATCATTACTATTTAAATAAACTTGAGCTAATTCTAGGTACATCAGGGACTGGCATCCACTTATCTCCCCAAATGGAGTTTGGTAATTTATCAGCTGTGGTTTATTGCAAATTTCCAGGCAGGGGTGGGGGTGGGTTGTTTAGAAGGAACCAGGCCAAGATGGGAAGGAAGAGGAATCCATGAAGCTCCTCTGGAAGCTTGGCTCCTATCTTCCTTCCTAACATCTTCAAAAAACAAAAATGAACAAATCCCATGTCTTTGATATACTTTAAATAAAGCTCATTGGAATGCTGATAATAAGTTCAACTGAAAAAGACATTTCAGATTTTTGTTTGTGTGTGCATGTAAGATAAGGCTGAAAATCACTCACCAGAAACTGGATTTTCCAGGACTTTGTCGATATATGTATAAGTTGGTTTGAAATTGGCATGGTGGTCTGCTGAGCCTTTCAAGATTATCTTGGTTCCAATTTTCCATTTGCTTCATTTAGGCTAAATCAATTGCTGTCTCTGTGTCCTACCTTTCATACTCTGAAATTTTTTAATGGCTGTAATGTAGAGCTCAAATGCACTTGACTAATGCCAAGAAGTGCAAAACCTCAAAATACCTGTGTGTGCCTGCCATGATGATGGGAACACAAAGCAGACTCTCCAAGTTCCTGTGGAAGAGGACACCTCCTTTCACAAGAAGATGCAACGTGAGGGCTTCAGGATGGATGGTGTTAAGGATTCCCAATGAAATTCTACTAAGACAGCCCTTGCTACCTTGAAAAATGAATAGGTACATTGTGCTTAAGTAAAACAACTCCTTGGTGCAACCTTCCTGGCCTTTTTCTCACCAAGGCAGTTTTCAGTTTTCTTAAAATTTATTCACTATAATCATGCAGTATCCTTTGAGAAAACCTATCAAGATGATTCCTTTGGTTTCCCAAAAACCAGCTGTCATAAACTTCTGAGCTGATCTGTCTGCCTTCAATTGAACTAGCCCAGCAGATCCTCTCAAAAGCCGCATTTTGATCAGACCTGTTTTGGGGCACCTTGTAAGGTGCCCTAGTGAGACTAAGACATGTGTTTTACTGGGAGAACTTGTCTGCACTTACACGCTAATTGCAGAGACATGTTTTATTTGGAAAACAAACTCATGTATATATCAATTGGAATCCTAGCAGCAATGTTTTTTGACTTATCCTCATAAATTTCAAGATTTTATTTTTTGACTTATCCTCGTAAGTTTCAACATTTATTTCAAGATTTATTTATTATAGTGAGAATTTTGAGAAAATCTAAAAGTCCAACAATGAGGAAATGGCTAAATGCATTTTGACATTCTACATTCTGTGTTGTTGTTGAGTACCATCAAGTCAGTGGCAACTCATAGCAACCCTGTGTGAGGCTTTCTGAGCAGCAGCTGGTGAGTCTGAACCACTGACCTTGAGGTTCAGATGACCTTGCGGTCCAGTGTTTATCCTACAGTGCCACACCAGGACATTATGTGTAGGAATATTTAAAACGTAAGGCATGTGACAGTCACTGAATGGCTAAGACAAAAGGCAGGCCACTTTTGTTAGATGAGTCT